TCTTTCCTGAGGGTCTTCTGCTGTGCCGTGCTGGTTGTCTGAAGGTGTCTTTTCAGAGTCATTTTTACTTTGGGCTTTGGGGAAAAGACAGCAGTCACGTGGTGTCAGAGCCAGACCGGTGGATAAGGTGGATGACGACACTAAGTCTTGGTTTCTTCCTCTTCCTCCTCCTCCTTCTTCTCGTCTTTTCTTCTTCCTCCTCCTCCTCTTTCTCCTCCTCTTCTTTTTTTTTTCAGACAGGGTCTTGCTATGCAGCTTGAACCCACCGTGCAGCCCAGGCTGGTCTTGAACTCACAGACTCATGTTTTTGTCTGACAGAAACTGCTATAGGCATTCTGAATCAATTCAGGACATTGAAGCAGCCACAAAAAGACACTCACAACAGAAGACTTACAGAGCTGCTCCGGAAAGTGACCAGAATGATGGGCCCGTGTTTGCAGTGAGGGGAGGGCATGTGCTCTACTGTGACACCGTGTTTTGAACTGAGTGTTCACTGTGTATTCTGGTGTTCTTGTATCATCACCAAGTGAGCTCACTGTCCCCAGGGGGCAAGGGCAGCGTGGCACCTCAGAAGTCCCTCGGCCCTCCCATCACTCCCCCAAGGCCACCTTCAGTGCCATCATTGCCCTAGGTGAGTGCTGTCTTTCTGAGACTTCTAAGGCAGCACCCTGCAGCACAGAGTCACCGGTGCCTTCCCTCCCTGGCCTGACAGTCTTGTGAAGTCACTCGTGGTGCTGTGCGCAGCTGGACTTGGCTGTCCTCGGTGCTGGCTTCCACTGACTCCCGTTCTCCCGCTGTGTGGCTAAGGGGTGCGTGCCTGTGCCAGTGCTGGCTGAGCAGGCAGTGCACTGAAGATGCTTCTCTGTGCCCTCTGCACAGAGTCCGCCTGGGATTCTGTGGCCTACACACCCGTGTGTAAAGCACGACGCTCGTGTGGTCTTTGCTCCAGTAGGTGGCACCGCCTGCGGCCCCATTAACAATTTGCTCCCCCCCACTGGCCTCCTTCCTGCAGGGCAGTGCTTCACTGCCCTGCAGGAAGGCCCTAGGTGGTTTTAATTTGCACTTTTCTGATGACTAAGGGGTCAGAGGCTTTTCCGTTTGCTTTTTGGGCACTGGATGTCCTTTTGTGACACTCCATCAGGGTCCATTTTTCCATTCTGATGTCTTGCTTCCCGATGTGTGTGTGTCCTCACAGTGCATCCTCTGCAGACACAGCCAAGCAGACGTCTTCCACTTGAGGCTCTGCCCTGCTCTGCGTCTCCCCCTCCATGCACTCTGCCTGGTCCTTCTCCCCAGACTTGGCCCTGCCGGCTGCCCTGTAGGTCTCCGGGGCCTTTAAAAGATTCCCCAGCTTTCCTTGGTGTTTCAGAGAAGAACCTGGGAAACTCCCGGCAACGGCCACTCACCCTTCAGGTTCACTCTTCCGGCTTTTCCATGCTTCTAGACATGTCCTCCAGTGTCATTTCTAGACTTAATATTGTAAACATTCTACATTAATTTTTATTGTAGCAGATGACTGTTTAGTGACCTTACACCTGTGCAGTAGCGTTCTGTGGTTTACAGCTTGAAGCCCCTTTTACTGTAATTATGTTACACGCTATTCACTGCAGGTGCATGAGGTTGACGGGAATTTCCCAAGTCAGCTGTATTGGCAGTGATGAGTGCTAAGCCCCTTGAAGCTTACAATGGCCCCAGTCAGTATTCTAAATCTTCTAGAACACTCTCAGTTTCTAATACAGTGAGCAGTAGGTAGCCTCATATTCCTAGATGAGTTCCCACTCTTTCAGTGTACCCCAGGGGCCCTGCCCTGTGGATGGCAGAGTTTGGGCCTGGGATGTCTCCCACAGCCCATGTTGAAAGGCTGTCCCCAGAGTGGCACCCCGGGAGGCACGGGACCTTTAGAAGCAGGGCCTCATGGGGGGTCTTGGGCTGCCTGTGTGCTCAAAGGGCTCTGTAGGACCCAGGCCCCTTCTGTCTCTCTTTTCTCCCGTTTCCGGCTGTGCAGTGGACATCTCGCTCCAGCACACCCACCTGCATGTGTACTTCCTGTCCGCAGACCAAGAGCAGGGGCCACACTCATGGAGTGGACCGTCCAAACCAAGGATCAGGATGGCCACTGGTCACCTTGGGGAGGGTGAGTTTATTGTGTCCTGGAGTCTGACCTTGAGCTACCACATGCCAGATCCCCCTTCCGGTTCTGGTGTTTCTGGCCTATCCCTTGAGCATCCTTCAAAATGACTTCTTGGGAAATGGCCTCAAAATGATTTCCAGCTGCATGGCCTGGTGACAGAAGATGAATGAAACGATTTGGGAAAAACTTCAGGTGTTTGCTGAAAAGGATTTTTGGTGCAGTAGACATGGTTGATTCATGGGTGCAGGACAGGTGATGTGACCGGGTCCCTCTGAGCTCTGTGTGAATCAAGGGTCGAAGGCTCTCCCAAGGGTGTCACACCTGCTGTGTGTGTTTCAGCATGGCTGGGACAGGCTGTAAGAGGCATCACATCCGTCACAGGCTGCTGTTTCTGTGGATATGCGTATTTGCAGGGCAGGTCTGGAAATCAGGGTCATGGCCATGGTCTCCAAAGCAGGGTCCCTAGTACTGCACCTTGGGCCCCGCTGGCCTCCTCTCTCCTCCAGGCTGCCAGCCCTACAAGAGACTCCGGATGCGGGTGCAGAGTAATCACAACACACCTTTGGTTTATGTTTTCTTAATGGAAAAAAAAGCCTGTATTAATAAGCATAAAAAAGGATTGGAATGCAAAATACACATAGGTCCCTTTTAGGATTAAAAAGCCGCAATGTCGATGGTGCAGAAAGCTCTGGTGTGTGTGGCCTCTTGAGGCCTGAATGCCCTGGGCCCAGGTGAGTTCTGCAGCAGCTTTAGGCACTGTGATGGCCCAGGTGCCCCAGTGATCCCTGAGACAGAGTGTGAGGATGCCACAGGCCATCATCCCTATGGTGGAGAAGGAAGCACACCTCTCCTGTTTGTTTCCTCTTCAGTGTTGGTTTGCAGAGCACAAGAACTCGGAATCACTGTGCAGCCCACTCTGCAACAGAGCCCCAGGGAGCATGGTGCCATCTATCACTTCTCTCAAGATATCCCTGCCACACCAGGAGGCTGGCTGTCCACAAAGCATGACAGAAAGGCCACACTGGGCCTGAGAGAAAGTCAATGGCTAGTGGTTCACAGCTTTCCAGCATGTTCTATCCCATTGGGGGCAGGAAAATCAAAAGGCAGATGTGCTCTTCACAGCAGGAAGGAGACCCTGAAAGGACTCCCAAGGGGCAACTCAGCACAGACTCAGGGCTTGCTGTGAGCCGCCCTTTCTCCTAGGACACAGAGGCCACAGTTTACAGCTGAATGTCACCCTCTTCCTGCTCTCCCTTCTCTGTCTTTAGTATGCACTGAGAGAGTTTACTGAGAAACCAGCCCACATCCTGGAGGTCCTCAGGCCACCTCAAGTACTGCTGCTTCTGCACAAAGCCTCAGATGGCTGCATGTCTCATCAGCTCTTATGCGGACAGCGACCCCACCACAACCACGATGAGCACACTCTGGAGGTCGGACACGCACCTGTCCTGGGCATAGTTGAAGGCCTCCAGGCACCACTCGTCACAGAGGAAGTGCCTGTTCATGAGGCACACGACCTTCCTACTGCTCCAGATGGCTGCCTGCAGGTTGGTGACGTGGTCTTCCCTGGGCACGAAGTCTCCCTCTTCAAAGCACAGGTTCACCCTGTTTTAATCATCATACTGGTCCCAGCACCACATGCTCCAGCCACCTCTGAAAAGCCCCACCTGTGACCTTGTGAGGCTCTGCGGGGACATGGAGACATGAGCTACATAACGCCTTGTCAATCCCAGTCTTCACTGATGGCAACAGAATTATTTATAGGTTCACACTACTCAGTGACACTTTGGACACACAGCAGTGGTGCTCTCCAGGATTACATGTACCTGAAAACCATCACTGTGCAATTTGCCTGCATCTTGTCTGAGTGAGGATGTTTGTGACCACCTGTGGTACATGGCAATCCCATGCTGTACCTGCACATGACCTAGGGGCTGTGGCTCCCGCAAAGCTCTGTGCACCAGGGTCTCGCCCTTCCAAGGTGTCCCCTGCACAGTTGTCCACGGTTCCCTTCTTATTAAGTGGCACATGACAATATCGTGATGTGGGCAGACACCAGCATTAAAGATAAGACATCAACACTACCACCATGGCATGCTCTTCGAAGTTTTTAAGGAGTTTCCTGGTTCTCTTGTCTTTTGCTTTTTTTTTTTACCTTTTGCATTTTTTTACCTTTTGTCATAGTGGTTTTGTTTGCAGCCGCATAAACCTATGGTTTCTATCATGAAACACTGTGTGTGTGTGTGTGTGTGTGTGTGTGTGTGTGTGTGTGTGTGTTTGCGTGTGTGCAGTAATAGAAAACAGCTCACCTAGGCATGATCCGGACACATTCTGGCCATGTGTGAGACACCGCGATGAAGAAGGTCCTGTTGCCAACCTGGAAATAGGCTCAACTCCCTAAGTTTTAGAGACTCCACATACCAGACAAGAACGCGAGCCTGCCTGTGTCCCCTTTCCCGCAGTTTCATCAGGGCACCTGGAAGTTGGTTTAGACTATTGAGAGGAGATTGAGAGTATCTGTGATGATCCTTTGTGATTGCTCTGCCAGTTCTGTTAACATTTCCATTATTTGTGCCCGCCCTTTTCAGCTGGTTGCTACTTTGCCTGAGCATGTTCAGCCCGGGCCTGACTTTTATGGGCTCCCCTGGAAGCCTGTGTCGTTTACTGCCTGTTTGGGAATCGTTTCGTTGGCCATTTTCTTCTGGAGGATGGTCCTTGCTGTGAGTGAATTAACTTGGTCTTTGACTTCTGAATACATCGAACATTCTATTATCATTGGCCCTTTCGGTTATTAACATAAACAAATCAGTAGTTATAATTCAAGCTAGTTTTCTGAAATAATTTAATGTAATCTTGGTATTGGCAAGGACTTAAGAGCAAGCTAAGCATATCCACTTGTTAGTAGAGTTGGGGACTCATACAGCCATCCTGAAAAGCCATTTAATAATTCTATATAACACAAGCCTTTAAAATGGGATATAAAACAGGATAAGAAATATAAATTGTTTTCATATGGTATGAAATATCAGTACACGATCTTAAAGAAATAAATTACATGCTAAGATTTTATACAAAGGTGTTCGATGAAATAGTATTTAATAGAGTAATAACTTGGCAAAAAAAACCCTAAATGATCTATATTAGGCAATATTATGTTTCATCTTATTATATCCACAGATCAGAATAATTAGGCTGCTGTGTGTATTTCAAAGGCAGGGGGCAAAGAAGGTGTTCACAATTTAATGTGAAGTGGGAAAAGTGGAAACGGACCGTGAGGTGTTGATAAACTGTGCTGTAGAAACACACAGGGCAAGAAATACAGTAAGATGGTAGAAACGTCGAGGCAAGATCAGGCATAGTGGTGCGTGTATTCCTGCAGCCCTGGTGGAGAGGGAGGCTGAGGCAGGAGAAGTGCAAGTTTAAGCCCAGCCTGGGCAACTTGGTCACTTACCAAGAGCCTGTCTCCAGAATTAATGGGAAGGCTGAGAATGTAGTTCACTGTGAAGGCCCTGTCCCCGGTACCCAAAACAACCCCAAAACAGCACCTTATTAAAGGTTCCTGTGAGGACTTCTCGAATCTCACTGAACAGCTTCTTGCATGAAAGAACACCTGGAAGGGTAAGCAGAAGTGTGTGTGGGTGAAAACGTGCTGTTTCCCCTGTACCGAACACCACCTTGCCAGGCAGGAGCTTATACACTGAGCTAAATCCGTGGCCCAGGAGGTGCTTTTTGTAACTCATAGTGAACCTTCCACCTGCACAAGGTGCTATTTTCTATCTGGTTCCCCCTTAATCGCACTTAATGGGGATGCCGGGTGTGGGGAACCAAGGTTTCCAATGTTTCTTCTGATGTTGGTTTTTCCGAGAGTTTAAAAAGAGAGGCAATTTTTAGAGAGGAAGATGAGACTTCTGTATTGTTTGGCTGGAAAATGTACACCGCTCAAGGCAGCTTAGTAATAAAATCCTTTTAAAATGAACTGGGCCTCCAAAACCAATAAAAACCTTAGCCCTCTGGTTAGTGGGGCCATTATGCACTCTGCCTCAGAGCGTGGGCAGGTTCTCGGCTGCTTTGCGGCGAGGCTGGGGCCTCTTTGGGCTCTGAGAGCAGGGGCTGTCCTGGGGCCTGGCGGGTGGTGGTGGCATTCGAGGAACAGGAATGAGCGGGCCAAGGCCTGAATAGCACAGGTCCCAGCAAGAACTCACGGGGGTGCAGCGGCAGGTCGCAGCGTCTGGGCAGGATGCCGGGCGTGTATTCCCTTAAGCCCAGTGGTGGGCCCATGCATGAGACTGGAAAGCAAGAGGGACACGTCCTGAGGAGCAGCCCAAGTGTGCTCAAAGCATTTCCCTTCCCCTGAGCCAGGAAGCCGAGTGATGCATCGAACTTCACAGATAAGGGAAACTGAGGCTCAGTACGGCTCAACTACAGCCTGACCCTCCCTTCTCCCACTGCCACACGCCCATGGTGGCCCGGGTGACCACCCCGGTGGGACTGGCATTTCGGCTCTGCGGGAAGGACCCTTCTGGTCTGAGCAGCTGTCCAGAGGCTGCACTGGGCTCAGAGTGCTGGACCTCGTGCTGCGAGTCTGCAGGGCTGCAGCTGCGGTCAGGACAGGAGAGGAGAGGACAGGGCAGGCGGTGGTGCCAGCCCAAGTGTCCTACCGTACCGAATGTCAGCGGTCGCGGCGGAGGCATCGGCCGAGGCCTGAAAGTCCCACAGAGCCTTGGTTGTGGCGGAGGCCCATAGACCACCGGGCGCGGCATGGGGCGTCCCAGGAACGGGGGCCCTGGATAGGCTGGGGGCCCTTTCGCAGCCATGCTCACCTGCAAACAGAAGCAAGCCCTGTTCTGAGCTCAGCAGTGACACCGGGTGCCCATCCCGAGAGGAGTCAAGGGATCCCGGCCCCTGCCAGCCCCTATGTGAGCAGCACGCCACGCCGCGAGCACGCCCACCACGCTGTCCCCACTCTCGTGTGAAAAGATGAGCTCCAGAGGGGCCAGTGGGCGCTGCACCAGCCCGCGCACTCCTGCCAGCATGAGCGCGGCCCTGGGCATGACAGGGGCAACACAAGGGCTCCCGGGGGGCCTGGGGGGGGGGTCCCTGGGGAGAACAGGGAGCTGCCTCGGCCAGTGACACCGCACAGGAAGGGGCTGGCAGAGTCGCCTGTGCCTGCGCTGACCAGAAGGCAGGCCAGAGACCTCTGACCATCGCAGGTGGGCCTCGTGCGTTGGGAAGGCTGCTGAGGCGGCAGCGTCAGGACCAAGGCGGCACAGCAGCCTGGGCCGCCCGGGACCGGTTCATGGGTCCCTGAACTAGTGTCCCACTCCCACCAGAGCACCAGAGCCGACACCCACCTCATTCCGATCATTCCAAGGGGTCGGACTAACACAGACCCCGAGGACCCTCACAGCTGCTCCCCAAGCGAGTGTGGTCATATACACCCGTCATCCCGGCACTCGGGAGGCTGAGGCGGGAGGACTGCTAGGGAACTGGAGGTCAGCTCTGGGTACTGTGAGGTCAAGGCTAGTTTGAGCTGCATAAGGAAACTCTGACTCAAAACAAGTAACAAACAAAAGACACAAGGCACGGGCTGCCCAGGGTGTGAGGCGTGCTTTGCCCCAGCACTCAGCACGTGCCCCGGGCCCCAAGCCATAGCGAAGTCCCGAGTCAGATGGTGACAGCTGAGTCAGCCGGGGGTCTCTACGCCCAGGCCCGCTGAAGAACAGAGAGGAAACCGAGGGTGCGTGGAGTGCCTTGGGCGCGGCTCCCAGGCTCACCTTGCCGTCGTCCATGCCCTTTGCCAGGGAGGAGCCGCGGGAGTCGCTGTAGGCCACAGGCCCGGGGCCGGGATCTGGGGGCAGAGAAGGCACTCAGAGGACTCTCCCAGGACCAGGACGAGAAGGGGCCGTGTGCACTGTCGGAAGAGCCCCCGGGGACGCTCGGGGACGCGGCAGAGCCCTGTCCACTGGCCCTGGAGGGAGCTGAGGCTCGGCCGGCTCCGACCGGGCTGCTGCAAGGCCCGTGGGAGGCGCGAGGCCACAGATCCCTTGCAAGGGAGCCAGCCTCGCCCGGCTCACTGGGCAGGGGTCAAGGGGGCGGGGGGGGGGGGCTCGAAGGCGGCCTCTGCGCCTGCGCAGGATCAACCAGGCCAGCGCTTGGTGGACCTGGAGAGCTGGGAAGGCTGCGCCGCAGCAGCCCCAGCCAGAGGCGGAGACGGCTTTGGGTCCCAGGCTGTGGAGGAGGAAAACAGGGACGCGGAAGACCGAGCCCGCACCCAGCGGCCACGAGCTTTGGTAGCAGCGTGCGAAACAAGCAACACGCGGAACCGCTGAGCTCAGGAGCGGCCCCTGGCGGTCCGGTGAAGAAAGTGCACACACACGTTGAGCACTGTGCAGAGAGGGAGAGGGTGACACCGCGGGCCCCCACCATGCCGAGGCCGGAGGCGGCTGGGAGTGACGAGGCGGGCGCCGGCTCCCAGGACCCTGCTGGAGCACTGCAATCGGGGTGGGCCCGCACACGGCCCAGGGCTAAGTGAAAACCTCGAGCCCGGAGTACCCGGGCTCTGTACCAGAGCTCAGGGAACCGTGCCCAGGGCAGGTGGCACAGTGCCCCTGAGTCTGGGCCTTGAGGCCCCGGAGAGACTCATCTGAGTGGGCTCTCGGGATGTTGCGGCCTGCGAAGTTCAGGCTTGCAGAGGGCTGCCTTGCGGGGGGCTCTGCACCTGGGGGTGGGGAGCACTCATTGCTGCTCACAAGGTATGGGCCAAAGGAGCCTTTCTGGCTCAGGGGACCTGTGGCGACAATGCACGCTGGTTACCACTTCTCTGCAGTGGCTAAGTTCCCTGAGCCGCACTCAGAAGGACAGAGTGCCCACCTCTGCGCAGCGCATTCTGCACTCCTGGCCGGTCCAGCATCTGCTTGAGGATATCAGGCTCCTCTTGGCGCATAGCCAGCTTCTCGGTCATCTCCATGAGCCTGCATGCAGACAGAGTGGGGCTGGGGTGACCATAGCCACTCCGGGAGGGCTGAAATGTGGGCGCCACGCGTTGCCGGGGCCTCGCCGCGACTTGCCAAGCCGTCGAAGGTCTCGGTGCCTCGACTCACTGGAGGCGCCGTTATATTGAGTTGGAGGTTCAGTGAGCTGAAAGGAGAGCTGAGTTGGCGGAGAACCTACATCGACCTGTGGTGAGTGACGGGAGTGGAGCCATTCCATAAATAGGGGGGCTCTGGCGGACGACATTCTGGAACCTGGCAGGACTGACAAGTGCAAGGGGCAGCAGTAACTTCAGTCAATTGTCCCCTTCCCGAATGGGATTGGTGGAGTGAGCTAGGCCTGGGTCACGTGAACTGGCTGAGACCCAATAAGTTATCTGAGGTCAAGTCCCTGCAGCGGTGTCGCACTCTAACCACACTGGCCCAGTGGGGCCTCGGAGGTTTGGCTGGTCTGGAGGGGGGCCACGCATAGTAATACAGTAGTGCAGGCCACAGCAGCTTGACTGATCGGAGGGGAGGGGCCAGCATACCTGTCCCTGTCTGCAACTCACTAGCACACTGCAGTGTGAAGTGTCATCTAGCCAACACGCTTCAGAAGAATTGTAACCAACAAAGAAGGAAACTGGGGCTTCCTGGAAGAAGCAAAAAAGATGGGAAAAGGAAGCAACAACAAAAAGTCCCAGGCCCCAACCCTGAGAACACTGACCCAGGACAGGTAAATACAAAGGAGAATGAGAACAGCAAACATGCAATATCAGACACAGCACCAGTGGACATAAAGAGATATATTTGGAACCTCATAGACGAGTTCAAAAGTGAAACATTTAGCCAAATAAAGCAAGATATAAGAAGATTAATAAAAGAAATACCCGGCACCCCTCAAGCAGACACAGACAGAAGAAGGGAGGAACTCAAACACAGGAGAGTACCATTTGGTGAAGAATACAAAAAACATAGAATACATGAAGCAGATTCAAAGAGATGACCAGGAAGTTAAAAACACTATGGAAAGATTGCAAACCAGCTTGAAAGAACCTAAGGATAGATTATCCAAACTGGAGGACCATTTTGCAATGTGGGACTATGAAAGGGAAAACTTTAAAAATAACAAGGAAACAAGCAGTAACAATACAAAGGCTAGAAGATGACAAAAGGATTTATAACTTGAGAATAAAGAATGTAAGTGAAGAATCTGAGATACAAACAAAGGAACTACAAAGGTTATTCACAGAAATAATTAAGGAAAACTTCCCAAACATAGGAAAAGGAAATGATATTCTGATATATGAGGCATACAGAACTCCAGCCACCTACAACCAAAACAGAGCTACATCCAGGCATATAATAATCAAGATCCCAGAAATTCAATATAAGAACAGAATATTATAAGCTGTTAGAGACAAGAAACAGATAACCTACAGAGGAAGGCCCATCTGAATAACAGCACACTTCTCGACATAAACCATCAAGTCAAGAAGAGCCTGGAGCAAATTATTCCAAGCCCTGAAAGAAAACAACTTCCAACCCAGATTGATATACCCTGATAAACTGTCTCTAGAAATTAATGGAGAAACAAGATGCTTCCAAGACAAAGAGGAACTTGGGAAATTTGCAACCACCAATCCAACTCTACAGAGAATACTGCAGGGCATTCGAGAGAGAGAGAAAAGTATTAGGATTCCAGGAACAGTGGCAGAGAGGCCTCAATGAATGGAGCAGAAAACAGAATGAAGAAGATAAGCAGACAACAGATGACAAAAAAGAGCATAACAGAAATGAGGCAGAGAAGATTTTATTCAAAACTGATATGATCGATAGTATCAAGTCTGAGAGTATAGGCAACTACCCTGAAGATGACAAGACTCAATGATACACATTCTGGTTTGATAAATGCCAGTTTTTGAAGTTCTATACTATATACAAAGTTGTGTTTTTATTAATACTGTTATGTACTAACATATTCAATCATACTCTGTCTGATGATATAGCCAGTTCTATTGGAGATAACAAGAGACAACACAGAAACTATGGTAGAATGATTTGTACAATGGTCTTATTTTATTTTGTTTCATGTGTTTATAGGAATATGTTTTGTTTTGCCTTGCTTTGTTTTGTTTCTCCCTCTAATATAGCAAGGATAGAAATACATGTTAAGACTCATGCATGTGTAGAATCTATAAACAGTTTATGAGAATCGAACATATGACACATGATGAAATGAACAGATACTTTGAGGAAAAAGACACACTAAAATACCCAGTGCTGATCCTGGAGTGTCATAATGTGAAACCCAGCAATAGTATTATTCTTTGTTCAGAGTGATATTAGCCTGCTTGGGTTTATTCAGTCTCAACATAATTGAAGAGATGAATAACTGCATGTATGTGTAAGTGTGTAGGGTTGATAACCATATTTCTAAGTTTTTGTTGGATAGCTGAACAGAACTGGTTGCAATCTCACTATTTGAATCCCCACTTTATAAGCTCCACTTTACTATCTTCAATAACTATTTGTAAGGAGACAATCTGTAATCATCAATTAGTGATTTCTTATTGTTTATTTTTTTCTTTGAAATTATGTATTATTTCTACTCATTTGCTGTTTTGTTTAGTCTTTCTTTAAATAAATAAAAAAAAAAGAGCTGAGGGTAAAAACTGAAGTCAAGCATTTCATGGTACCCTCCAGCTTCGGGGTGACCGCACAACATAGTATAAAGAAATGTTCAAGCAAACCATGGAAAATGAACAGCTTTTCTGGTGGCATGAAAACAAAAAAGCCCCAAAAGGGCTGGAGATTTAGCTCAGCAGCATAAGTGCCTGCCCGCCAAGCACTGGGTCATGAGTTTGATCCCTGCCCTCCCCCCAAAAAAGCTCCAAAATCACTTTAAACATTTTCTTGTATGAATGGTAAGAATGCTGGGTATGGTGGATGCCTGTAATCCCAGCACTTGGGAGGCTGAGGCAGGAGAGGAGAATTTAAGGCCCGCCTAGGCTACAAAGTGAATTGATAGCCAGCCTGAACTGCATAACAAAACCCAATCTCAAAAAGACAAAACCAAAACAAAACAACAACAACAAAAAGTGTTTCTGGGGGAACAGAAAAATCTCATGTGTAGAATTTCTCAATATTTATGACAATCCAGGCTCAAGGTGTGACCCTAACCCACCGTTCTTTTAATTGCAGGTTGTGTGTCATGACTTCCTGCCAAAGAGCATGGTGCACAAAGGACTGAAAATGGGCAACTTACCAGGTCTGTGCTGAGCAAAGGACCAGGCCACACAGGAGGCGGGAAGCATGAGCACTCTCCTCACTACATTTCCACTTAGGGGATTTTAAAACTATTCAAAAGGCACAGAGTCTACTGTGAAATAAAACCAGTTTACACAGACTCCTCAACTGGACCAGTTTCTTAGTGACTGTGTGTTCTGGAGGACTCAGCTATGAAATTATCCAAGTTTCAGGATCAAAACACTTCCCGTGCCTATAAAAAGGTCCTACTGGGTTAGTACTAAAAATCCCACAAAATGGGTACAGGCAAGTTCAGTTCTGTTATTCCTAATCTTAAGGAGTTAACAGCATGGAAACAGTTCAGCTAATTTATGAAATAGCTAAAAGTACAACTGTAATAACACAGCAGCAGCAGAACTCACCAAATCCTGATTTTGCACGTTTCATTTCCTCTCAGATTTGAATATAACACCAAGAGTTTTGGCAATACCCGTCAGAAATTTATTTCTTTAACTACCTCGATTTCAGCCTACAAGAAAAGATATTAAAAGTAACAATACGCATTAATGCCTGCTTCTGTTTTTTGACTATAATCCCAAAAAGAGAAGGATTTTTACCTTGTATTTAATTGTTTGATGAGATTTTTTTTCCTTGGTCTCTGGAATAAGCTTCTTTGATTCTGCGATCTATATAAAAAACACATTCAGAATTAAGTAACAGAAGTCACTGTGCTACTAAAACAAACCTTGTTCCAAGGAAGCGAGCAGAGCGTTCCCTTTATACATGATGGTGCCTAAGATCTGGAGGGCTCAGGGGAAATGATCAAGCGAGAACACAGGCCTTCAAAATACCATAATAACTGAGCTATAGCACAGACTCGCTAGAGGAGGGGCCGTGAAACAGGTTCTACCTTCTGTTTATAACTTGACACTTTTTGGACAAGTTCTGCATTGTCCTTTGTGGTATTCTTCACCTTCTCAGCAATCTGCTGTTCAGTGACTATAAAAAGAGGAAAAAGCCAGTATTAGGAGCACTAAATGGAACTGAGCTGCACAGTGTCTCAGCAGCAAGGACTCGTGTGAGGCTCCGTGAGAGACAGAGCTTCACACAGCTACCTGCCCTTCCAGAGAGACCCGCAGCTAACAGCAACAGTGCACAGGACACCGTTAAATTTTAAGAAAACTATAATAACACTTGTTTTGACGAGATAGTAATTTACTGCAAAGGCAGGAGATACAGTAAAATGTTACATAGTTGGAGAGGCTCACTTCACAAAAGGCACTTGTTCTCTGACAATGGAATCACTTCAAATGAATGTCATTTGCAAAGAGAAACAGCAACTTCAGGCTACTGATCTACACTGCTGTCTCTCGAGCTCCTGTGCTGATAAACTTATAGGGGCCGAGGTGTCCCTAGCACAGACACACTGTCCTCTGTCCACACCTGTGTGGTCCAGCCACGCTCGGTCTGCTCCATGTAAGCAGTCACCCCCCTGCCCCCACATCTCCTACCTCAGCCAGTACCATCATCCTCCCCGCTATACCATGGTAAGTAGCAACAGTAAAATGTGGAGCAGTTAGTAAGTCATATCAGACACCAAAGTCACTGTCTCTCCTAGCCTGCCTAAAAGTCCTCCCAAACACCAACAGGAAGAGATTTACCTTGGTATGTTCTCTCCTTGACCTAGAAGAGAAAGAGAGAATTAAATTTGATGTCAAACATTTGATTAAAAGAAATACATAGTTCCTAACACAAGTCAGGATCATAACCAAATGAAAATTTAGCAATTGTTTAGTTCAGGATAAATCCATACAATTAAAAATGTATTAGAAATAGCCTCTGATACAGAAGAACAGTAAGGAGTGTGTCTTACTTCACAGCTACACACAGGTTTATGTGCCAGTACCAAGGGAACACCAAGCTTATGAGATGAGCCTTTGTCTTCAACAGTGAAATGCTTGTTTTTATAATACGCACATTATTATTTACTCAGAATTACTTGACAATCCCGAACAGCAAGCATGCAGTCTAGAAATGGTGACCATATGGAAGACTGGCGAGCGAGATTACCAGCATAATCTTTGCACTAAGATACACCTGTCACTCACTGGAAGATACCTCAGAAACCCTATTTCAAGTGATCTATTCATGCAATTAAGAAATAATCTAATACACCTCATCATCTGATTTCCCCAGACCACAAAAACAGTAATAAATCTAAGCGGAAGGGAAGACACCAGAAGAACACAGAGAAATGATAGCTAACAGCTTCCAGGAAGAGCACAGACCCAGTTCTTCCTCCCAGTGACTTCTGGGGTCATAAATCCTAAACTGTAACTAACTAAAGACCACAGCAGCGATCACTGCACTTCTCTGTAATACAGACTCTGTCTTCTTCCGAGTGCTATAAAGAAAAGTGTAGGACAGCAGAGCACAGTGGCCATGGGGTGGGGTGGGGGGACGAGTGTCCTCTCCAGGATGAGGAGTAGTGTCTCAGAGCCACTGGACCTCAGGGAGTGGGAGGAAGTGAGCCCAGGTGCAGGGTGTGAAGCTGCAGGGCTGAGCCTGAGAGCCCTGCTGGGGAGCAGCTGCAGGGGAGCAATGGAGAGGAGCAGGGGAAACAGCACGTTTTCACCCACACACACTTCTGCTTACCCTTCCAGGTGTTCTTTCATGCAAGCTGTTCAGTGAGATTCCAGAAGTCCTCACAGGAATCTTTAATAAGGTGCTGTTTTGGGGTTGTTTTGGGTACCGGGGACAGGGCCTTCACAGTGAACTACATTCTCAGCCTTCCCATTAATTCTGGAGACAGGCTCTTGGTAAGTGACCAAGTTGCCCAGGCTGGGCTTAAACTTGCACTTCTCCTGCCTCAGCCTCCCTCTCCACCAGGGCTGCAGGAATACACGCACCACTATGCCTGATTTTGCCTTGACGTTTCTACCATCTTACTGTATTTCTTGCCCTGTATGTTTCTACAACACAGTTTATCAACACCTCACGGTCCGTTTCCACTTTTCCCACTTCACATTAAATTGTGAACACCTTCTTTGCCCCCTGCCTTTGAAATCCACACAGCAGCCTAATTATTCTGTTCTGTGGATATAAATAAGATGAAACATGATATTGTCTAATATACATCATTTAGATTTTGCCAACTTATTACTCTTTTAAATACTATTTCATCAAACACCTTTGTACAAATCTTAACATGTAATTTATTTCTTTAAGATCGTGTACTGATATTATCATACCATATGAAAACAATTTATATTTCTTATCCTGTTTTGTATCCCATTTTAAAGGCTTGTGATATATAGAATTACTATATGGCTTTTCAGGATGCCTGTATGAGTCCCCAACTCTACTAACAAGTGGATATGCTTAGCTTGCTCTTAAGTCCTTGCCAATACCAAGATTACATTAAATTATTTCAGAAAACTAGCTTGAATTATAACTACTGATTTGTTTATGTTAATAACCGAAAGGGCCAATGATAATAGAATGCTCGATGTATTCAGAAGTCAAAGACCAAGTTAACTCACTCACAGCAAGGACCGTCCTCCAGAAGAAAATGGCCAATGAAACGATTCCCAAACAGGCAGTAAACGACACAGGCTTCCAGGGGAGCCCATAAAAGTCAGGCTGGGGCTGAACATGCTCAGGCAAGGTAGCAACCAGCTGAAAAGGGCGGGCACAAATAATGGAAACGTTAACAGAACTGGCAGAGCAATCACAAAGGATCATCACAGATACTCTCAATCTCCTCTCAATAGTCTAAACCAACTTCCAGGTGCCTTGATGAAACTGCGGGAAAGGGGATACAGGCAGGCTCGCGTTCTTGTCAGGTATGTGCAGTCTCTAAACTTAGGGAGTGAGTTGAGCCTATTTCCAGGTTGGCAACAGGCCCTTCTTTATCTCCGTGTCTCACACATGGCCAGAATGTGTCCGGATCATGCCTAGGTGAGCTGTTTTCTATTACTGCACACACGCAAACACACACACACACACACACTGTAAATACATGATAGAAACCATCGGTTTATGCCGCTGCAAACAAAACGACTATGACAATGATCGCCACAAATCAGGCATCACTCCTCCAGGACGCTGTGTCTCAATTCGCTGCACCCTTAGGCTGCACACACAGGTGGTGGCGTGAACGCGGCTCCCAAGGCGACCCACAGCCCGGCTCCCACCAGAGGGCGACCCGCGCCCCTCGCCCGGCCCTGGTTCCCGGCCTCAGCCTCAGCAGCCGGTCTACCAGGGCCGCGTACAGCACCTGCAGAGGCTGCAGCAGCTTGGCAAAGCCCCGGGACACGGTGACCCCGAGCCCAGTGGCTGACACCGCGTCCATCGCAAAGGACCGCTCCCTGCGGACTGGCTGGAAGGGCCAGACTAACAGTGGCAAGCACTGTCCTTCCCAGAGGCGGCAGGGGGCGGGACTGCACAGCTACACCCTCCCCTTCCAGCTGCGCTATGAGCCGTTAACAGGCGGTCTCCAGCGCGATGGGGCCGCGCGCCAGCAGAGAGGGGCGGGGCCAAACCTGGGCACCGCGGGGGGCCGGGGGAGTGCCCAATGAGCGAGGGAGGCCGGGGGCTGGAGCGCCCAATGAGCGAGGCCGGGGGCGGTGTCCCGTGGCCGCAAAGCAATGCGGGGCGGGGGGGGGGGGTAGCTGCTAAGGGCACCAGGTTCCCGCGCCGTTACTGCTGGACCTGGGCGCCTGGCCTCGCGCGTGCCGCTTCGTGGCTCCCTTTCTCCCTACCCTTTGGTGAATGTTCTTAGATCTTAGCCTGGTATGTTCTTCCAGGCTGAAAAGTACCGAAGGGTTGCAAATCAGAACCCAATGGTATTGATCAGACTTCCAATTTTGTTTCCTGAGCAGGGGAGTGTTAAGAAACTAGTCGACTCTGTAGCTGTACAATTAAATTTCATTAATGTTTTGTCTCCTTTGACTTACTCATGACTACAATTGTCATCATTCTGTGTTGAAACTCCTAGTATAATATATCTTTTCTTGTGCCGTGGCAAGCACCATTCTGCTTTGTGTTTCTTGGTTTTTTTGTTGTTGTTTATTTTTTTGTGGTTTTTTTTGGTTGTTGTTGTTTTGTTTTTGCCTTTTTGAGACAGGGTCTCCCTATGAAGTTTAGGCTGGCCTTTGGCTCTCTTTGTAGCCCAGGCTGGTCTCAAACTTGCAACGATTCGCCTGCCTCAGCCTCCTAAGTGCTGGAATTACAGGAGTGTATGGCCACACCTGGCTTCTGCTTTATGTTTCTATAAGGTTGACTTACAAACAATTTGTGTGCGTGTGGTGTTCTGTGGCTGCCTTATTTCAGATGCATAATTTCCTCAAGATTATGGCTGTTGTAGCACGTATCAGAATTTTGTTTCTTTTTAAGGTGACTAGTATTGAGTTGTATGGATTTCTGTTTTTTAGTCCTTGTGCTGTGACTCAAATCCAGATCTTGACGCATGCAGACGCAAATGTTTGCACTGGGCTCTATCCCAACTTGAATATTTGGGTTGTTTCCATTTTTTGTCTATTGTGAACAGTGATGACACAGACATATGTGTATATTCTTGCATGTACACTTTTTGAAGTCTATGGTTTTTTAAAATAGGATCTCACATGTGCCTAGGCAAGTACTCCACTACTGAGGTGTGCTTCTTTTTCAGGCCTTTTTAAAGATTTCTTCTGGTAGTGGACTCTTTTTTTTTAATCTTTTCGAGACTGTCTCACTATGCAGTTCAGGCTGGCCTGAGCTCACTTTGTAGCCCAGGCTGGTCTGGAACTTGCAATCCTCAGCGTCTTGAGTGCTGGGATTACAGGTGTGTGCCACCATGCCCGGCTGGTATTGGACTTTGATTCTTGTCTCTGTACTGAGATACAGCCCTGGCCCTTTTTCTTCTTCTTCTTCTTTTTCTTCTTCTTCTTTCTTCTTCTTCTTCTTCTTCTTCTTCTTCTTCTTCTTCTTCTTCTTCTTCTTCTTCTTCTTCCTCTTCCTCTTCCTCTTCTTCCTCTTCTTCCTCTTCTTCTCCTTCTTCTCCTTCTCCTTCTCCTCCTTCTTCTTCCTCTTCCTCTTCTTCTTCTTGTTTTCCTTCTCCTTCTCTTCTCTTTTCTTTTCTTTTTTTGTACCAGCCAATTTAACTCACAACTTAACATTTGCCAAGTAGACACTTATGCCATTGAGCTAACTGACCCCCTTTCTTCTTGTTCATTAATTTTTAACCTTGAGTTTTTTTGAGAGGATGTCGCTATGTAGTTCATGCTGACTTTGAAGTCACTATGTAGTCCCAGGCTAGCTTCAAACTTGCAGGGATCCTCCTGCCTCACCCTCCTGAGTAACTGTGATTAGAAGCATGTACTACCATGTTCAGCTTATTTTTTATTTTGGAATAAGGCCTAAGTTCTTACCCAGACATGACCCCAGCCTTCCTGCCTCAGTGCTCTGGAGACTTGGGTCACCCTATTTCGCTGTTTATTTTTTGTTATAGCTGTGTTTTGCAGGTTGGTCCTCCTTCCTCAACCTCTCAAATAACTGGGATTGTTCATGTGTGCCACGTTGTCCGGCTTTCGATTATGTTATAATTTGGGTTTTTAAAAAATTTAAGTACCACAGCCGGGCATAGTGGCTCACACCTGTAATCTCAGCACTCAGGAGGCTGAGGTGGGAGGATCCTTATGAGTTCAAGACCAGCCTGCGCTACAAAGTGAGCTCAAGGCCAGCCTGAACTGATAGCAAAACCCCATCTCAAAAAAAGACAAAAAAAAATGTAAGTACTTTTTGTTGTAGATCTATAGTCTTCTTTTAACATGAACAATAGCTAAAACATTCTGTGTATACCACAAGTACTATACTCATTATTAGACTAACATTAGAATCCATGTTCTTGCTGAGTGTGGTAGGCAGGTGCCTTCTAATTCCAGCATTTAGAAAGCTGAGGCAGGAGAATTGCTACAAGTTCCAGGCCAGCATAAGTCACATGGTGGGTTCAAGGCCAGTGTAGCATATATAGTGAGACATTGTCTCAACAAAAAAAGAGGGAAAAAATGGTTTACTTGTTTTAACCTTTCAGAGATCAGTCCATGGTGGGCTGGCTCCAAGGCAGAAACTTCACGATGAAAGGGAATGGAGCAGAACTGCTCACTTCACAGCAAGGGGAAGCAGAGCACAGGCGATAAGCCCCAAAGAGGAAAGGACCAGGGACCAAATGTAGTCTCCAAGTCAAACCTCCGTGACCACTCAGATTGCATGCTTTAGTTATCCCCTAGGCATCTCTCAAGCCAATCAAGATTCACCATCATAATCCTAAATGGATGTGGAATTTTGTTAACTTTTTTCTCAATCCGTTTGATAAGTCTCATAAGGATCAATTTTTATGTAGTGTACACAAGAAGCCCAACAGAAATGGACGAATTAGAGATACAAGTTTAGAAGGAAAAAAATCACTTTATTAGAAAGGGAAGTGAAATGAGGAAGCAAAATCATTTTATTGGGAGAGGAGAGATAGATAGATAGATAGATAGATAGATAGATAGATAGATAGATAGATGCCTTGTCAGAGTAAGGTAGGGAGCCCAGAGCTGGCACAGGGTGGGGTGGGGTGGGGGTGTCTTTGTTCTCTACCACTTTTATAAGGCAAGAAAGGACTCTTCCCCCTTGAGAACTGTTACAACTTGACTGGCTGTTGTGGGGTCTGAGACACCTGACATGGCCATTGCCCTTCCCTTGCCTACAGGTACATTTTTGGAGAAGCACTTCTTTGGGCTCTTTGTGCTGTCCAGGTGCTTATCTTGTGAGATTTACAGCAGGGTTACATTCAAGGCTGAATTAGTAAAAAGATACATGTGCATTTTAGTGTATTACTATAGTGAGAAATATATATGTATATATTTATACAGAACGATGTATAAATGTCTGGGAATGTGGTTTTTTAAATAATACAGACCCCCTCCCACTTGTTTGTTTTGTGCTTAGTTGCAGGTGGAGGAAGGAGAGAATTTTTTCATGGCATGAAGTGAGTCAGGCTGCCTTATCAGCTCTGTTTTTCTTAGCTACTTTCATGAGTAGGAATTTAACTCTTTATTTGCCCAAAACTTCACCAAGGACCTTTAACTTTCCCTCCCTGTCCCCCAGTTTTTCTTAAACATTTATTCTTAGGCTATTGAGTTACATGGAATTTTTTTTTTGGTAATGTTGAACCAGCTTTGCATTGCTAGTAATATATGCCACTTGATCATGATGTGTTACTCTTTTGTGTTGCTGGATTTAGCATCTATTTTTTTTAAAAATAATTTTGTGTGTATGTCTATGAAGGGTAGTGGTCTATAAGTTTTATTTTGTGCCTGTCTGGCTTAGTTATCAGAGTGCTGTTAGTGTCATAAAATAGGGAACTACAGTATTTCCTCTTCCATATCCTCATAGTTTGTATGAGGTTAGTATTGAGGATTTTGAATAGAAAAGGGTCACTGCCTGACTGAAGTCAGCCTTAACAGGCTGTCTCTGACTGTTGTGTTAGTAGACTGAGGGAGCAAGGGCCAAAGAAGGAAGATAGGGGGGCTTTGGCAATCTTGGGAGGAGGCAAGAAAGGTTTGCTCAAAGCGGTAGCACTGGCTGTGGCAAGAGGGGAGCGAGCAGGTTCTAAACAAATGTATAGCATTTAGTCTCTCTTACAGATTTGTTTATTTTAAGTGAAGTTCTTGCTGAGTCACTGTTACTCAGGCTGGCCTTGAACCTATCTTCCTGCTTGTCTCAGTTTTGCAGAGTCTAAATACAATTTTTAGGGAATAACAAGACAGTTTGCTGGTGGATTAGATGGAGGATCTAAGAAAAAAGAAAGCAGAAAAGGTTGATCTTTAAATTTGATCTGTTTTTCTCTTCAATGCTTTTTTTTGTTAATCTATTGCAAAATAGAATCCAAGTGACCGTTCTTTATTCCTCTTCTCTGTTGACTCCTGTTCACACCCAGGGAGGTTAGGGTATCAACCTATAAAGGCACATAGAATCAGGAGAACAGAAGTGGTTTTCCTTCTGAATTTTTCTTCTTAAAGTTACATTATCAAAAGTGTCTTAGCCAGACCTGGTAACACACATCTGTAATCTCAGGAGTCTGTAAGAAAGAATGATCCCGACTTTGAACCCTGGCTGGGCAAATTGGCAATTTAGGGAGACCTTGTCTCAAATGAAAATTTTTTTAAAAGGGCTAGGGAAAAACAAAAAGGACCAGGGGAATGTAACTCAGTGTTAAGGCCCTGTATTCAAAGAAAGGAAAGAAGCAAGAAAGGAGAGAGAAAAACTAAAGCTTCTAATGTAAACTAAAATAGAATAATTTTATGTATACTCATTTAACCATACTAACTTTAATGATCAATTTATTTTTTAATCAGATTTTATTGGTACATTTTTTGGTAACAGGGATCAAACTCTCTACCCTGCACTTGCTAGGCAAGCGCGTATGCCGCTGAGCTAAATCCCCGGTCCATA